GGAAATATATATATATATTATATTATATTTATTAACTCTAATAATTATTAAGTCAATTACCGACGTAAAGTAGTTAAACAATAAACATTTTAACTATAATATTATATAATAGTCCCGAAAAACCGTTTATGTATATCATTTGATAGGTGCTTTTTTTTCTGCAGATGAATATTCAAACGAAAGACGATAAAATCAGGTTACTTTTATTTTTAAAAATTTTTTTTTGCATACTGTTGCGAACAATTACAATATAGGTATCCGTGATGTATTATATTAATTTTATTGTATAAACGTTTCTTTTCCGGCGTTTTCTCTTTGAGGTCGTTGTAAAACGCTCGATCTTAGGCTGGCCTATCAACCGTTGTATAATTTTGGACGGAATCCCAGTTTTTGTCTCGTAAGTCGTGTGACACAAGCTCAAAATACTGCGTTATTGAGTGACGGCCATCGAGAATTGTTTGCCTTGCAAAATAATCATATTATACGGTTAATATTTGTATAATATAACATAGTAACGACATTCCTAGTTCTGTTATTTCGATAAGTCGGTTTTCTTTGCATTTAGCCTAAATAATTTGGGTAAGTACATGTATGACTTTCATAATGTTCGAAATATCAAAACCATAACTACATAGTAATTTAACAATGATCAAAACATCTTCAAATTTTCTGGGTGCCCCGTGCCCATGGGTAATACTATAAATAATTTACAATAATATTATTGTAGTAGTATCTGTGTAAAAATAATATCAATTAAATCAACGGTATACCCTATTTAATAATAATAATAAAATAAAAAAATAAATAAAGAATAGTGCGCTTTAAACGCGCATGATGTACATAATACATATATGGATAATATACCATTGTGTTAGTATTATTAATGTATATCATATGCAGTTTGTGAGTTACCTATTTATTTTTTCGGCGTAATAAATAACAATGATTGTATTATAAACGATTCACCGAGCATGCTCAACTCATGTTTCCCTTTAATAATTAATTAACTAAAATGTTTATTTTTGTAACTCTGAAATATACTTAAAATCCATGAATTCAAATACTTAGATTATTTTATGTTTTATAACATTCAAGGATTGTGGCGATACTTTTAACTTATAAGTTTTGACATTTCTTTTTCAAATGAAAATCACCACCTTTTCCTTCAAATTATTAATCGGATTACATTTTTGAACATTTTAATTATCCAAGTCGAAATTTGAACCAGTCGACATTGAGTTATTAACTTTGAGTACTAAGAATGATAAGTCCACTTTATAATATTGATGTGTAAGATATAATGGGGGCTATGTTGATTTGAACATTTTAATATTTGTATTTGTACTAATCTATCAATATTATATAATTTGAACAAATAGTCCGAGTACAATAAATAATATTATATAGATCCATTATTACAGAAAAATATCACCTTTCATTTGTAAAAATAAATTTGTGTTACCACGGAACACGAGCCTAACTGGTTAAATGGTAGGCATTAAAAATTTAAATAATTGATAATACAGTATTTTAGCATAACAAAAAATTCAAAGTCAGAATTTGAATAAATTTAGTATTAAAGAAAAAATGTGGGAGAGCACGATACGTGAATCATCCTGTATAATATGGACTAGGTCTGTCCAGTTAACGAACAAATTATCAATGTATGTCAAACGCTTTTGTTGTAGCCCTTATTGTGTACGCGTTTAAAATTAAGATGCATAGACGTCGCATAAAATATAGTATCAAAAATAATATCAAACAGAGTGTCGCACCTGCAATGTTTCGGGCAACGAGTGAACGAGAACAGTTCACCGGCAAAAAAATAGTATATTGTCGCGCATTTTTATTTAATATTTCAATGTACAATAGATATTACGTCGAAACGCAGTAAAAAAATACTTTTCCGGTGAACACGAATAATTATTGTTTGCGAGTGCGGAGATAAGACGTCGGTGGCATTTCACCAGGTACATAATAATAATATTATATTCACCCAAGTCCACCTAGAGCATCGTGTCTGCTACACTGCAATATTATTACGCGTTTCAAATAATATTGTTAGGTTTATTATTATGCGCACAGTACGCGTTGCAGGTGCTCATAATAACAACGACATGCTCTGATGGTTTACACGACTGTTTTCAGTCGTCAGTCGCCGCTGCACGCGCAAACCTAATATTATTATGTCACATAATAATATTAGATATTATAGTATAATATAATACACTGCGATGGAATCGTGTGTGTGTAAAAAACCACAGACGTATCGGTTTATTTTTGAACACTGAATATACTACGCGCACGTCAGCCTGCTGAGTCACGGAAAAAGTCGCGAAACCGCCGCCGCCGCCGTCGAGTGGTGCGTCCGCGATGATTGCTCGCATTATTCGCGCACACGTGATAATGCAACACCGCTGTGGGTACCTTTTTTTTTCCATAACGCAACAATAATGACGTGTTCGACAAACAAACGTGAATAATTATTATTTCGACGATCGTAGTGCCGCGGTTGTTCGGGCCGACTAAAAATAATAAATAATAATATTATGACGACGACGGCGGCGGCGCGGGTAGCGTTCGTGCGAAAAAACGACCAGCCGAGTGCTCGAGCCCGCGTTTATTTATATCCGGATTCGGTGGACCGACTTTGTGCGTCGTTCGTTTTATCCGCCACCGGTCAAAAGCGCATTTTCCACGACTCGGCCGCGTCGAAATTCAATACAAGGGGCACGCCGCTAGAGTCGAGCCCCCCCTCCCCTCTCCTGTCCAAGAAGAAAGAATGTCGTAAAACGTCATTTTCGACAATAGAAAACTCGCTGATAAATTGTTCAATATTTTCGATAAATTCAGAGATTGAACATTTTTGTTTTTTTAATCACATACTTTTCCATATTATAAAACACATTGAACACGGTTTTATAGATATATTCTTAAAAATAAAATCCGAACAGAAACTACCATTTTAATAAGAGCTTGTAGTCAAATACGAATACAACGAAAACAATTTAGACGTGAATGAATGATAATACAATTATTAAAAAGTTGAACAGTTAAAATATTTTGAAAATGTGATGATCTTTAAACGTTCTAGCTCTGTAGTAGTATTAACATAGGTAAAATAAAAGTATATATTTTAATGCGTTGCCTGCCGTGCAGTGTAAACATTTAAAATATCTATTGATTTATTTTTTTTTTTAGACTTTTAGAATGGTAATAATTAATAGTATTGCTTACTCTGAAAAAGTGATATGTTAATGAAAATAACTGACGCTGCAGTGAATAATAATAAATTAATATAAACATTCTTAATTCTTATAATAATGTTTGTTTCGTTGATTTATTACACTGTTTCGGTGAATCTTATATTCTACATTTCTACTTTTATTAAAACTGAATCTTACAAATTAACTGTTAGTTTTTAATTGAAATTTATTTCTGGCGTAATTCATGTAAATTAACCTGAACTACCGGCTATTTTGAGCACAGTTTGTGTATATTTAGGTGACAACTACGTGCTACTCGGGGCACATCTTCTCGAGCGCCGAAATGAAGACTCTAATTAAATCCATCTAAATCCATCTGTAGTTAAGTCCATAGACAAAAGTAAAATTAAAACCACAACTCATGAGTCATACGTCCGCGTGTATTCACTCGCACGTTCAATTTAAATAATTGGTGTTATACCTTATGACACGAATGAAGGGGGCTTGGGTGGGCAATCCTTCGAAAATCAAATAAGCGCCCCACTATAACAATACACGAGCCTTGTGCCTATACTATACTGAATGCAGTATTATTGAAAATCTTTGAAGGGCTAAACTTTAGGAAAAATCAGGTGACTGAACACACACCTCTCCTGAGAATTTTTTTTCACTATTTGGACGCGTAATAACACTAATACGGAATATCGAGTAAAACACGCTAACGAGTTATATTATCCGAACGTTGTTTCTTATTATATTATTATTTCGTGTGACGCACACTGTACGAGCGTTATTTATTGTTACATTTCGTGGAAGCGTATTTATTTGTCATATTTATTTTATTTACACTGCGATATCATAACAACGCTAGTCTCGATTAAGAATATTAATTGTGGTATATGCAATAAATATTCAATACTAATATTAATCGTGATATTCGTTAATATTTATTGAACTTTTAATCGACCGATTAGGATATAAATCGACGTTCGATTATTATATTATTGATGACACGTATTTCAAGTGCCTGGTCGAATTTGTTCCTTTTGTGTCGTTGAATCTCGCGAACCGCATTAGGTGCTAACTAGTTAACTACCAAGTACTTAACTGTACTTGGCACGTTTATATAGTATTGACATATAATATACTTTGCATGAGGTGGGTGCCAAAATGGAAATTTCAAAAAAGTTTTTTGGAACGTTTTTTTTTCTAGAGGATGTGATACCTAGGTGCCTTCAGTTACTCACTCTGCTTACAGTTGGCCGTTTGTGACCATACTGTGGTGAATACACATATACACCATAATCATATATACCTCATCGGTAAAGTATTTTTACAAATATGGCGCCTCAGATACAGAATAAAGAATCAGTACATTTCCATTAATATTTAACAACATAGACTTTATACTTATAAGGAGCTAGAAATTAGAATGCTAGACGAGTAGGTGATATAGTCTTTTGAAATTCCATAAATAACCTCTCAATAATACAGTTAACAAATCTTAAAGCTCCAAAAGAAGTTTTATCCAAAATTTGTTTATCAAACTTAAGCTCCTCAAAATATTGGTTGGCTAATGGCCACTACAGTTTCATCCACTTTATACGACTCAATATATGGTACCCGAGGCAATTTCGCCACCGAGCCGGCGACCCTCCCCCCCTCAAATACGCCTCTGATTTAATTGCCTATAACACGTATAATATTTTATTATATTATATGTTTAGCAGTTAATATTATATCCGTACTCCAAGAGTTAAAATTACGTCAGACTCGCTCCGATTTCGACCACGTCTCGATCATCAATTTTCTTTCGAGTATCTCGTAGTATGACATCGTTATCCCAGGTATTTCGTCGACACACAAAGTGAACGGCGGCGGCCGAAAGAGTCGACGCGCGCGTAACTATATATAGTCGATATTTCTTCTTCTCCTTATTCGAACGGAAACGTCGTTGCATTGTAAGTAATTGGAAATAAATCGCGTCCTTGTCACACGTTCTCGCTTCCAATATGCGTCGCTCTGTGTAGTAGTCGTGTGCATTATTTCTGTCGTCAAACGGCCTTGGGTTTCGCACGCGCGTAAACGGACGTCGGGCGGCTGGACCGGACGTCCATGGGACGCGATAGAGTCGCCGCCGTCCTCTCTTCGTTCGGAGAGCGTCGAATGGCGACGAAAAAACGGCATTTTTACGGTGCCGTGGATGCACTCAAAGGCTGAGACCCCGACAGTCCAGTAAATGATTATAATACGGCACGAAAATGTCGTACCGCTCACAAAAACACCATGATATTAATATATTATACTCAGCGCATAGCCTAACCTAACTCTAGGAGAGCTCTGTCCTCTTTACCAAATACAGTCATAAACAGTTGCACACATTTTTGTACGAGGATCGATAATTATATAATAATATCGAATTGGAGGAGTAATTTAATAATTATGAGATAACACTTCAGTTTTCCAAACCGCTCATCACTGTATTGAGTAACAGTTAATTGACTATATAGATTGTAGAAATGTCAGTCTATGCGATCCACATTAAACGGTAACGGTAAGCATATTTGAATATTTTCGAATTAAAGGCCATTTATTATTCATTTTTTAAATTTAGTGTATATCAACGATCACCTCAACCAGAACCAAGGAAGAGGCTATGGAACCATCATTCTTATTTCCCGGGTTCAGCTGTAGCAAATAGCAATGATGTTCTAACACAACTGTCTTATCATCATCATGTTATTGCCTATTGCCATACAGTATACTGCTTTTAAATAAAATATTAAAATTTTGAATTTGAATTTTTCAGTGGTACTTTTTTATCAAATTAAACCACGAATCGAGATATGCAAGTATGTCTTTAGCTTTGTAATAAGTGATAACTGTACCTATGTCTTTTTTATGTTAATCTTGACCACTGACCACAATTCAATCTAACTATTTATTAAAAACATGCATACATCAAATTCGCACTATACTAAATCACATTTCTTACTGATAGTCTGTATGACTATATAATGTACATAATATATAGTATTTTCGCTGTATTTGTGATTAGATTTTCAAATTGGCCTATAGGTTTTTTAAATGTTATACTACTCCACATGTATTTTTATTCATTTATTTTATATCAAAAAGATTACTAAGCTTCACGGAGTGGAAAGCCCACTATCAAAATAATAATATATGAGTTTAAATGAGATTATACCCACTAAATTATTATAGTAACTCAGTAGACTCTTGAATCTACTTTTGCGTTTTTTTTTTT